GGTGGCTCCGGGCATCCCTTGGCTTGTGGCTGCGTCCCTCCAGTCTCTGCCCCTGTGTTCACACGGGCTCCTCTTCTACGTCTGTATGTGTGTGTGTCTCTCTTATTTTGTTGTCGTAAAAATCACATAACGTGAAATCTACCCTCATAATAAATTTTTAAGTGTATAGTATTGTTAACTGTGTGCACATTGTTGTACCACAAATCTCTAGAACTTTTTTATCTTGCGTGACTGAAACTCGGTACCCATTCAGTAACAACTCCCCATTTCCCCCTCCCACCAGCCCCTGGAACCACCATTCTACTTTCTCTGTGTGTCTCTTATAAGGACACTTGCCATTGGACTTAGGACCCACCCAGAGAGTCCAGGACGTTCTCGTTTCAAGCCCCTTAACTTAATCACACCTGCAAAGATCTTATTTCCAAATAAGGTCACATTCACAGGTTCTGGGGCTTAGGGCAAGGACATGTCTTTTTGGGGACCACCACTCAACACACTTCACACTCTCAGTGCTTTTATCTTCCTCCCTAGAAATCATCTTTGGAAAATAAATTTTTGTGTAAAGCCTTTTTTTTTTTTTTGCGGTACGCAGGCCTCTCACTGTTGCGGCCTCTCCTGTTGCGGAGCACAGGCTCCAGACGCACAGGCTCAGCGGCCATGGCTCACAGGCCCAGCCGCTCCGCAGCACGTGGGATCTTCCCGGACCGGGGCACGAACCCGTGTCCCCTGCATCGGCAGGCGGACTCTCAAGCACTGCACCACCAGGGAAGCCCTGTGTAAAGCTTTAAGAATTATGTTCTTCAACCCTTCTCTTCAGGAGTTGTTGGGCATCTACCATATGCACAGCAGTTACAGGTTCTTCTTTCTTCCTGTGACAGTTACTACAGACTGGTAGTGGTATACAGTATTTTGAATGGTAATAACATGGTTAGATGCTGTTTTGGGGGAAAAGTAGTTTTTCCAATTTCTACAAATATGTGATTACAAATAGGATTTTCTTATTTTGCATGGCCTGAAGCTATATGAAAATGTACACTGAAATTGTTATTTTTTTAGTAAGATTAAAAAGCGGCATTAGGGACTTCCCTGGTGGCTCAGTGGTTAAGAATCCGCCTGCCAATGCAGGGGACACGGGTTTGAGCCCTGGTCCGGGAAGATCCCCCATGCCGCAGAGCAACTGAGCCCGTGCACCACAACTACTGAGCCTGCGCTCTAGAGCCCGAGCTGTGCAACAAGAGAAGACACCGCAATGAGAAGCCCGTGCACTGCAACAAAGAGTAGCCCCCGCTCGCCACAACTAGAGAAAGCCTGCGTGCAGCAACGAAGACCCAACACAGCCAAAAAAGAAGAAAAAAAAAAAAGCAGCATTAAAATCAATATTACCTATATATGAATTTTTATAAGAGTAATACCATACCAAGTACCCCTGTATCAGCAAAACTGGTTAATGTAGGTATTAAACTGTAATGAACCATTGGGAAAACAATTTGCCTCAGGCCCTGAGCTTCCCTGTATGTTCTTGCTGAGTGTGCCAGATGACAAGGGTTATTCATCTTGTTTACTGCTTGTTGAAAAAGTGCTGGGCCATTGGCCCTAGATTCCTCTCCTGTAAAGCAATCCACTGCGTGTGCAGGTGTCACCTGGGCCCATCCTGTCACCCCTGTGGGACTTCGGGGCAAGGGGAACCAATGCTAATATGCTGATGCTCATATGCCTTGCTGTACCATGAGAAATGAAGTCCTTTGTCTCTGACCCAAGAGGCTGTGTCTTCTGCCAGCATCCATGAAACAGTGGCAGGCCAAGATAGTAACTTACAAGTGGGATAAAATCTCAGACAAATATAAACATGTGAAATCTTGCAAATACAAATTCTGAAAAGTCTCCTGTTCTATTTGTTTTATAAATTATGATATTTATTTATATATTAGTATGTTAGGATAATGCTTACTAGGTGCTGTAATGGTTAAACCCCCAATTCTCGTGGCCTTTATACCAGAAAGGTATTTCTCTTGTTCGTGTGAATGTCCTACGTGGGTATTCCTGGTTGAGAGTCTTTCCTGGTGGCTTTTCCACCATCTTTATGTCATGACTCCCAAGGTCTCCTGGAGGTCATTTCTATTCTGGCTAGTCACAAGGGGGCGTTGACAGGGAGGATCCTGGAGGAGGTTTTGCCCTTTTCTTTTAACTTTTCATCATGGAAACTTTTAAGCATGCCAGAAGTAGAGAAATTAGTAGAGTGAATGCTCTTGTGTATCTGTTACCTAGTTTCAACAGTGATCAACATTTTGTCATTTTTACCCCCATCACTTTTTTTCCCTGAGTCTTTATTTTTTATTGTTGTTTTTAAAATAAAATAGTACTTTCATTATGGAATATACCTGACTTAGATAGTGAAATACCTGCAACCTTATCCCTCAGAGCAGCCACAAACTGTGGTGCGTGTGTGTGTGTTTTTGTGTGTATGTGTATTGCCTTTAAGGGCATTATTTTTAAGGATCTGTGTATCTGTGTCATTCTTTCAAATATATTCAATACATCCCATTATATAGATAAACCGTATTTAATTTATACAGTTTTCTGTTTGGGGGCATTAGTTTTTCCCTATTAAGTAATGTTACGCTAACCTTCTCATCTCACATATACTTGAGCAAGTATGTTTTGCAGGATAAGTTATAGAATTGGAATTGCTGGGTCAAAGGATATACACATCTAAAATATTTAATATATATTGTCAAATTGCCCTCCAAAATGACTATACCAGTTTATACTTCTGGCAGAAGTGAATGGGAATGTATCGGCTTTTAAAGCAAATCTAAACATAGTATGATTTCATCCCCAAACAGTTTAGTGCTTCTTGCCAACAGATAAGGACTTTAAAAATCTTTAAACATATCATTTCTAAAAAACATTATTCTAAAAAAAGTTGTGCCTTTTTTCTGTTGGTTTGTTCAAATCAGAATTCACACAAGGTGTTAAAAATGTGCTCTGTCTAAAAGAGGTGTTGAAGGGGAGGCCCTCCTTTGGAGCGGGGACAGTTTTAAAAGCCTGCTCTGTGTTGTTGTCGGTTTGGGACCCAAAGGTGATGGGCTTCCTTTGGTCCAAGTTTGTTTAATAGGTTTCTGATCTGTTTGCTTCTGGTCAGTTCCACACTCAAGGTTCTTTTCTAAACATTCTTCTCAAGCCTGTCTTATCTCTTTGGGGCCTTGCTGCTTTGCTTCTCTGTCTCAATCTGCAGGAGCCTCCTTCCTCTCTGAGGCAAGCGCCTGGGTTGGGTGGGGAGTGGCTGCCTTCCCGTGACCTTGGTGCAAGGCTGACCAGGTTGTTTGTCAAGTCTCACAGCTGCTTTCTGTCAAGATTTTTTTGGTTTTATCCTCCTATTATTTGGGCTGCGGAAGCTTTTCCAACCCAAAGAGACTTTTGCTTTCTGGGCTTCTCTTATTGCTTCCATTTCTGCTTGGAAAGTAGCTGTTTTCTACTGAGCTCACTTTTGTCCTGAGATCTCTTGCCCAGGCAGTCAGTAGTGTTCAACGCACCGTCATTCTGACTCTTCCTGCCACTTTCCCTGGGCCGACAGGCTCAGTGGATGCTTGGTCTGCGAGCATCTCGTAGGGGAGCTGAGCCTTTCCTCGCTGGTCAGGATTCAGGTCATGTGGTTCCCCGCTGCACGAGGGGGAGCAGAGACTGCGTGTTGCCAACATACAACCCAGTCTCTCTTGAAATGAGGGAAACACTGGACCTTAGAAAACATAGGTGAAGTACCCTCAATATATTGCCGTTGCATTATTTTACAGATAAAGACGTCTGCTCTCTGGGAGTGAGTACAAAACAGATGCATAAGTAAACTTTTATTTTTATAATTGTTTTCATTTATAGACTATAAAGCAATTGGCAGAATAGGAGAGGGAACGTTTTCTGAAGTTGTGAAGATGCAGAACCTGAGAGATGGAAACTATTATGCATGTAAACAAATGAAACAGCACTTTGAAAGGTAGGCAACGTGAGACCTATTTGAGACTAAATACAGACACAGGTTTTGGTTTTTGTTTTTTTTGAATTTTATTTAATTTATTTTTTTATACAGCAGGTTTTTATTAGTTATCCATTTTATACATATTAGTGTATACATGTCAATCCCAGTCTCCCAGTTCATCCCACCACCACCACCACCCCTGCCACTTTCCCCCTTTGGTGTCCATACGTTTGTTCTCTACATCTGCAGACACAGGTTTAAATCGATGAGAGCAACTTAATGGGGAAATTGTATTCATGTGATAACATGTCATATCAGAGTTCTTTGGGCAGTGAGGATTATAGGCTAATTTTATATCATCGTACTGGAGTTTGTTCATGTCCAAGTTTACTACGATATCAATGATTGATGTTCACAAAGAATTTAAGTGGTAGAAGTATGCCTCACTTTAAACAGTCTATATGTTCCTAAGAGTTGTGTGTATGTTGGATTTTTATAACTGAAACCTTAGATTTAAGAGATTGGAGGTCTGGGGACTTCCCTGGTAGCCCAGTGGTTAGGACTCTGTGCTTCCAGTGCAGGGGGGCGCGGGTTTGATCCCTGGTCGGGGAACTAGGATCCCACATGCCATGTGGTCAAAAAGAAAAAAAAGAAAAAAGTTTAAAAAAAAGATATTAGAGGTCCTTGTGATTTAATTAGTTGTAAATCAGTTACTCTTGAATATATTGAAAAATAAGTTTCAGATAGGGTTAGAGAAATGTATTCCCTGGGAGTGACCAGTTGCAGTTTGTGGAGAGGGCAACTCTCCGGTTCTAGATCAGCCCCTTTGAGACTGCTGGGGCTTCTCCCACAGAGCAGCCTCCTAAAGTGCTTGAGCTTACAGGTTCTTCACACGTGTCACACTAAGGAGTCCAAGACCAGATGTGTTTAGGAAACTCTGTCAGAATAATGAAGTAAATGATGGCTTCACTGCAACTGTTAAACTTTTCAATAAAAAGGTTTGGGGCTTCCCTGGTGGCGCAGTGGTTGAGAGTCCGCCTGCCGATGCAGGGGACACGGGTTCGTGCCCCAGTCCGGGAAGATCCCACGTGCCATGGAGCGGCTGGGCCCGTGAGCCATGGCCGCGGAGCCTGTGCTCCGCAATGGGAGAGGCCACAGCAGTGAGAGGCCCACGTACCGCAAAAAAAAAAAAAAAGGTTTGAAACTCTGGTTTCAATTTTTTTTGTTGTTGTTAATCTCAAAGGAATTGAAGCCTCTAAATATCTAAAGCAAAGTTTTTAAAAAACACAGTAATTGCCCTACACTGATGTAGAGCCTTCCGAAGTGTTTTGGGGCATAGACCTTGATTTCAAACTCTTAGTATGAAAGATAGTTTTTCAGATCAGGAAGGAGTATAGGCCAGTTAACCGTGTCAGGGAGTATGGAGAACAGTAATGTCATCCTCGTGACATCCCCAGAGGGTAGGCATAATCACGTGAGGAAAGGTGGTTAGTGATGTGAAGTTACCAGAGAGTTGTCACTCTAGGTCACTAGGTGGGCAGAGCCAGGCCAAAGCATATGGTGTTTACCCACCACTGCCAAGACTCTGGAGTCACCGGGGCTTCTGCTTTTCCTCTTCTATCATGGCTTCCACTGTGTATTCTGAATTCTTTGTATTTCTTTATCTCCCGCCTCCCCCCCACTGCCCACATTCCGTCTTTACCTTTAAACTACTCATGGTAGAGAATTTGATGCACGGTGTTCTGATGATCCCATATCCAGAGAGCAGACTGCCTGAATCAGCCGCCTTGGAGAAATGCTCCACAAACCCAGCAGAGCCGAGAAGGGGCTTTGAGCGGCAGGTGTGATGCATCTGTGCCGTCGGAGAGGCCCGGATCCCTGTCCCTCCTGCTGTCGGGCTCAGGGGTAGATGTACTTGCAGACAGCAGGACTTGCCAGGTGCTGTTTTAGTGAAGGGATAAATACAAAAGTGGACCGGACAAACAGCCTGCAGACTTTAGGTGCTCCTGGGATTGTTGCTGTGTCAGAACGATGCACAGTCGAGTTCGCTCTGTTGAGCCAGCCGTCAAGGAGAGGCCATACTGGGTCACTGATGTGCCTTCAGGAAGGTAGAGAGATCTGTAACATTTTAGAAATGTTCCCATGAAAGAAGATTAGAATGCTTTGAGGGCAGTTCCCTGGGGAGGCGGAAACACTCAGTTTATCTGGAAAAGTACCTTCGGGTAACCTCAGTCCCTGGGGAGAATGTGGAGTTACCTGAGGGACGTGGTTTCCTAGCAGTGAAGCATGTCCTAGATCCATCAGGTCCCCAATGCTGGAAGTGCCTTGTCCTTCCGAGCCTTGGCTTCCTGTCGTGTGGCGCTGGAGGACTGACCAAGGCAGTGAGGAGCCAGGAGCTGGCGACGCGGGGAGCGTGATAGACACTCAGTAGATGGTGGCCTGCATTACAGGACGTGTGATTGTTTGTCATATTTCAGAAACAATTCATTGTCTTAACTTTAAAAGTGGTTGATTAGAACACATATTTTTCTTTTAAAATCCCATAATAAGTAAAGATATTTTAAAATAAAATACCACTAAATCAGTGATACTTTACTTTTTTTTTTCAAAGTGTGTGTGTGTGTGTGTGTTGGGGGGGAGTTATTGTCAACCATTGTCACATATTTCCTTTACTTAAAAGGAAATGCACTTTGAGCTGGTGGTGGCCTGTGGCCCTTTGATGTCCAGAATCAGTGACAGAGTCTCCAGCTTAGTTCTGATAGGTGTCTGCTAGCCTGTGTAATCTAAACCCATGGGGAATTGGATTTCGGGTTTTCTCTTGTGAGTTCTCATTTGCTCTTGATACATATGTCCAAAACTATAGGTGATTATAATCCAGTGCTATCATTATTTGAGAATTGTTCCAGCTAAAATTGAGCCCGCTCTGGCCGTGGGGAGCACTTTCATGTTGCCTCCTATGTTCCTTTGACATCACCCAGCATTTTCTTTTTTTTTAACACTTCTTTACTTTTTGGTACTACAAGATTCTCTAAGCTCATCTTGTATTTTCCCTGCCCCTAGAATCTTCCATTTCTCAAAGGAGTTTTGGTCCGCTTTTTTTTTTTTTTTTTTTGGGTACTCGGGCCTCTTACCACCGTGGCCTCTCCCATTGCGGAGCACAGGCTCCGGGCGCGCAGGCTCAGCAGCCATGGCTCACGGGCCGCACGGAC